CCTGGAACCTACAGAAATCCATGCCAGGCAAAACATCATGTGTTTTCATGTGGGTTCCAGGGATCAAACTCAGGCTATCAGGAATGCTGTCTAACACTTCTACCTGCTAAACCATCTCCCAGGGGCTTACAAAGAGATATCTTTGTTTAATTTTTTGAATGTATTTATTTTGGTGGCTCTGGGAACTGATCTTAGGACTTTGCCTGTGTGAGGGAAGTGTTCTACCACTGAGCAGTATCTCTAAGCCATTAGATCAGTTTGGTTGATAGCAGTGGTGTCTTACTCTGTAGATCCGGTTCACCTGGAACTGACTCTGTAGTCAGTGTTGACCTCCAACTTCAGTCCTGCCTCAGTCTTCTGAGTGCGGAGACTACAGGAGCAAGCCATCACATTCAATTAATATAGGACTTATTGAATCTAATACCCTGACAAACGGTATTTGGGTTGTTTTTATTCATTGGATTTCTTTCAAAGCACCTTTATTAATGGGTAATTGGCAAAGAAGAAACTGTCCATATTTAAGTATGCGACTTGGAAAGTTTTGATGAGCGTGAGAATATGTATTTGGGCAATCTTCACTGCAATCAAGATAATGAAAGTAACTGCTATTCCCAGGAGTTTCCTTGTGTCTCTTCATAGCCAATCGCTTCCTTCTTTCTGTTCCTGTTTTGTATCTCCTAAAATCTTATACAAACAGACTCAAAGTATGTTCTCTTTGTCTCTTCATTCACTCAGCATAATTATTTTTTTTGTTTTCAGACAGAGTTTTTCTGTCTGTGTAGCCCTGGCTGTCCTGCCAGTAACTCTTAAAAAACATTATATGATATTAAAGGTTGGAAATATGGCTGGGTGATGGTGATGCATGTCTTTAATCCCAGCACTCGAGAGGCAGAGGCAGGCAGATCTCTGTGAGTTCCAGGACAGCCTGATCTACTGAGTTTCAGGACAACTAGGGCTGTTACACAGAGAAACCCTGTCTTGAAAAACAAAAACAAAAAACAACAAAAAGGTTGGAACTATGGCTGAGTGCCAGAGTGTCTTCCTAGTGTGCACAAGGTTCAATTCTCCAGCTTCCCCCCCCCCCAAACAAAAGAACAACAACAAAAACATGAACTGAAATAAGCTGAAAACAAATAATAAAACTGGTGCAACTCTGTTATTTTTTTACATTTATTTTTGCATTTATGTATGCAGAGAGGGCAGAGAACAACTTGCTGGGGTTGGTTTTCTCCTTCCACGTGGGTCCTCAGGATTGAACTCATTGTCAGGCTGGGTAGCAAGTTTCTTTATCTGCTGATCATCTTGCTGGCTCTTCAATTCCATTTATAAGAGAGATATGAGCAGGCAGAAATGATCTGTAGTTTATAGTTTGGCTTCCTTTTACCTTGTGTTGTTTGGGGACATGATTTCAGACACATGCTACCACATCCTGTTTATGCAGCGCTGGGATCAAATCTAGAACCTAGTAAATACTAGACAAGTACTCTATCAACTGAGCTACAGTCCCAGCTCCTCTCTTATTTTTGGCTGGAAGAGCATTTATTAATTCTAAATTGTATTTATTTTTATGTATATGGGTGTTTTGTCTGCACATTTGTGTACCACAAGTGTGCAGTGCCCTCAGAGACCAAAAGAGGAAGGGCTATAACAACAACAAACTGTAACAAAAGTTGTGGGTCACCAAACAAGCTGTGAGAAACTGAATCTGGGTCCTAGCAAAGGACAGCCAGTGCTCTTAACTGTTGAACCATCTCTCCAACCCAAGAGTACTAGTTTTTAAATCATGTGTGTATGTATGTTTCTAGAGGTGGATTTGTGCACCTGTGCATGCAGTGACCAGTGAAGGCCAGAAGAGGGCATCTGATTTCTGGGAGCTGAGGTGGTTATGAACTACTTGATGTGGGTGCTGGGGAATTGAACTTGGGTTCTTGGTAAAAGCAATGCATTTCTTTTTGTTCTGTGTCTTATTTTTCAAAACAGAATTTCACTGTGTAGCTCTAGTTGTCCTGTTTATATGGAGACTTTCCCTATCTATCTTGATAGGGACCAGTTTTTCTCTGCCTACAGATCCTGGCAGCCACTTAAATGACCATTCTGAGACTTAATCTATATTTATAAATGTTTGGCCAATGGCTTAGGCTTCTTACTGGGTAGCTCTCTCTTAAATATTAACCTATTTCTCTTAATCTGTGTATCACTACATGGCCTTGGCTTACCAGTTATCCCTGGGATCTTGATTCCCCATAGTCTACATGGCATCTCCTCAACCCTGCCGACTACCTCTCTCTAACCCTGTTCAGATTTACCCAGCTTTACTCTGTTAAGCCACTGGGCTGAAACAGCTTTATTCATCAGCCAGTAAGAGGAACACATTGTGGGGGAGGGCTTAGGCTCTGCTCTAAAAGATACAACAGACTTTGAAGATCGCCCATGGAAGGCCTTACCTCCGTGGGGAGCAGAAAGGGGATGGGATGGGGGTTGGGAGGGGGACAGGGAAGGAGGAGCGGGTGAGGGAACTGGGATTGACATGTAAAACAAGCTTGTTGCAAATTTAAATTAAAAAAAAATATTATCAAAAAAGAACACATAGTCACAGCATACAGAAGCACATCCCCCACCAGTCCTGGAACTCATAGAGATCAGTCTACCTCTGCTTCCCAAGTGTAGGATTAAAGTACATGCACCACCGCCTGGCCAATACATGCTCTTAGTGGACATCTCACTATAGCAGTGCACTGGTGTTACAGTTTCATTGAGCTGTATATGTAACTATGCTACCAGGTACTGCATGTAAGTTGCACCTCAATAAAGAGCCTGCCCACCAAACTCCAGCCCATCAGTTTTGCTTGTATTTTGAGGCAAGGAATTCCTTCATAGCTCCAGGCTGACCTTGAATGGGAGATCTCCCTCCCTACCTTAGCCTCTGAATGCTGAGATTACAGGGGTATGCCATCATCCCTGCAATATGACCATTTTAGTATATTCCTACTTACAAATAAAAGTTTACTGGGTATGGCAACAGACACTACTAAATCCAGCACTTAATAGGCTGAGGCAGGAGGATCTCAAGTTTGAAGCTAGCTACATAAGGAGCCCTGGCCTCAAAACAGAACAAAGGAGAATGTAGATACAATAAAATAATGGTGAGAATACAGAATAGTAAATATAAATGCCAATAACATTGTTGTTTTCAAATACCATATAATGTACACAATCCTGTAGGTTCTGCTTTTATACTATTGACAGCACAGTAGGTTTGTTATCACATGTTGTACTAAGACTTTACTTTTTTTGGGGGGGAGGACTGGATGGTGCACACCTTTAGTCTCAGCACTTGGAAGGCAGAGGCAGGTGGATCTCTGAGTCCAAGGCCAGCCAGCTCTACAGAGCTTAGTACAGAACAGTCTAGGCTACATAGAGAAACCCTGATTCAAACAAAACAAAACAAAAACCAACCAACCAAAACAAAGATGCCTACAAATGTGACTAGGCAATAAGAAGAAATACTGGCTGAGAATTTCCCAAATCTGATAAAAATTGTGAGTCCAGGGCTGGAGAGATGGCTCAGAGGTTAAGAGCACTGATTGCTCTTCTAGAGGTCCTGAGTTCAATTCCCAGCAACCACATGATGGCTCACAACCATCCATAATGAGATCTGGTGCCCTCTTCTGGTCTGCAGGGACACAATGCAAACAGAACACTGTATACATAATAAAGAAATAAATCTTTAAAAAAGAAAGAAAGAAAGAAAAGAAGTGAAATGGGAGGGGAAAATTGTGAGTTCATAGAGAGAAAAAATACAACACAATGTATAGAATAAATAGATAAGAATTGTTATCTAAGTACTGTACAAAAAAACCAAAATCCATCAATGATATCTTAAGAGCAGGAAACATGACAGATCATCCACAAAGTATATCAGATCGGATTAGACTGACAGATTGCTTTACAACCAACACGCACTGCACCTACTGTATGCCTACGCTGTTCTAGGGACTTAAAACACCATGATGAGTAAGATGGTCCATTTCCTACCCTGCCAAGCCCACAGTGTAAAGTGTGACAAATGAACACTTACAGAGTGTGTAGTCAGAGGACAAGAGAACCGTAAGAAAGCTTACATGTAGAATTGCAGTATGATTTCTCCACCCACCCACCCAATGCTGGAACATCCCATGTATTTCCCAAAGGGGTGATCCTCCTGGGAGTATTCTTCAAGACCCTAGCTGGATGCCAAGAGTGGTGGCTTACACCTTTCATCCCAGTACTAGAGAGACAAAAGCAAGCAGATCTCTGTGAATTTAAGCTTGGCCTACATAGTGAGACCTTGTCTCATAAAAACAGTTGGGGCCGGAGAGCTGGCTCAGCACTTAAGAGCACTTGCTGTCTTTCAGAGAACTGTATTCAGCTTCCAGCACCCACGTTAACTCCAGTTTCAGGGGATCCAACACACTCTTCTGGCATCTATGGGCACCAACACACACATGGTGCAAAGACAGTCATGCAGGCACAGGCATAAGCTACACAGGGGCTAGTTAGGAAGTGTCAGTGAGAGGGAAGGAGCCCTTCAGGCATGGAGTGCTCCTCAGCCTCACTTCCCGACTCTGTCTAGGACCAGAACTGACTTCTGTAACACCAACGCTCTGTCCTGGCTCCATTCCAAAGCATCCTGAGCCTTGGCTTTCCTTGTAAAGTTACAAAATGCCTGTTAGGGCCTCTCTCCTAAAGGGAGTGCCTATGTCCTGTTTAACCCATACCCGGGGAGAGCAGCATGTGCCTACTACTTCGGTGAAATATTTGTGGGGAGGGGACAGCTTGTGGGACAGGGTCGGGCGAAAGAGTTCTGGGGAGGGGGGTAAGACAGCCAAGACTAAAGAAAGGCAGGCGGAAGGGAGTTTAACGACGACCTAGAGGCTCACCTGTTTAGCAAGGGGGAGGAGCCCAGCCTGGGCGTCCGCCACAAAGTGCCACCAGGGAATTGGTCCTCGATTGCTCCCGGCCAGCTTCCAGGACCCGCCCTCCGCAGCTTGGGGTCCCGCCCTTCTCAGGATTTAATGCCTGCCACTTGGGCGGCTCCGCAGCCGCCTCTTCCGCCTCTGCCAGGTGAGAGTCCGTACCCAGAAGGGGTGCCCGGGGCTGGGGCCAGCAGGATCCCTTTGGGGTGCGTCGCTGGCTCCCTTTCCTCGGGTCCTTCCTTCCCGCTCAGAGTTTCTTCTTGGCTGCCTTCTCCGGTTCCTCCCTGCCTACCTGTGGTGCAACGCAGGGTCTTCCTGGGCCTGAACTTTCTTCTGTTCTCAGTTGCTAGGCCGCCAGGGGTGGCTCTCCGTGCCTCCCCTCCCCCAACCTGCAATCCTGGGCTTCCTCGCGGTTTAACTACAGCGGGATCAGGAAGAGGGCCAGGTGTGTAAAGGAGAGTCTTAGGGCAGGACACCCGAACCCAAAGGCCTAGAGCCTTATTTACTAATGGCTGGTGGAACTGCTTGGAAGTCAAGTCAACTTGGGTTGAGTGACGTAGAGAGCCCCTGGGCTCTGTACCTGGAGCTGAGCTCAGGTGGGTGTGGAAGGACCACACACCTGGCAGCCTAGGTAGCCCTGTGAACAGTATCTGAGCTTGGCTGTGGTCTTTGCTGTCAGTTTGCAGCTCAGCACAGATACCTATTTAATTTCCATTGTTTTTGTTGCCTTGGGAGTTTCAGAGGCCATGACGTTGGGCATCACTGAGGTGAGGTGGCAGTATGTCCTCATTATGTGCTTGTGTTTATGTGATCCTTGGTGTCTCAGATAGGTGTGTTGGTATATCTAGGTATCTTTGATTTGTGGAGAAAGTGAACTGTTGTGCCTCAACACACAACAGGGTGTGTGGCAGTATGTGGGAATGTCTTGGACTTGAGACAACATCCATCTGATTGTCCCGGGCATGTTTTGTAGCACATCTGTGGGTGTGTGTGTGTTCAGTAGTGGATGGGAGGAGGCAGTGTACCCCATATATATGTGTCCCTATGTGCCTGAGGTACGGTGCGTGGTAGGCAAAATGTCTCATATGAGGAGAGGAGATGTTTCTGTTGTATGTGAGTGAATTGTGCAACTGTGTGGCTCAGGACCAAGTGGCTCAGTGTCTGAGTGTTGGGTACAGGGGCAGCGTGCCATATCTCTAAAGACAGTGGCATAGCTGGACTTGGTAGCCTGAGCAGGCAGTATTCTGAAATCTCAAGTGTGGGGGAAGCAATTTCTCAGTCTCGGGGAAGGAAGCAGGCCACCAGAGGTATGCATGTATGTGGCCGAGTTCCTCACTTTCGCTGAGCTGCCGCACCTTGTGCACTGGTGTGTTGAGGGTGGCAGCTGAGATTCTGTCCTTTGTGTCTTTGATGCCTGCTTTAGGCTATACATTTAAAGCAGACTGCCATCATCTTAGAGGTTCAAATCCAGACATGCTCCCTGAAGCCAGTCCCCTGTGGCTACTTCGGCTCCTCCGGGACATCCAGCTGGCCCAGTTTTACCGGCCCATTCTTGAAGAACTTAATGTCACTCGGCCAGAACATTTTGACTTTGTAAGGCCTGAGGACCTGGACAACATTGGCATGGGCAGGCCTGGTGAGGACCCTCTGCCTTGACCCCCAGCCTTTTCCCAGGACCGGTTGTGGGCCGTCCTCCCTACACTATAGACTTCTTGCTTGTCAGTTTTCTGAGCTCCACTCCATCCCCTCCCTCTAATTCTGGCCTTCCCCAGCCCAGCGCAGACTTGCTGAGACCCTGAAGAGGTACCGTTCCGGGGTCAAGTCTAAGAACTGGGTCTACAAGGTATGTGTTGCCGGTGGTGGTGTTTGCAGAATGATAAACTGAGTGGCTGGGAGGGGTAATCAGGGTTCCACACACCTGAACTCATGCTCCTATTTCAGATCCTTGGGGGTTTTGCTCCTGAACAGAAGGAGATCTCCCGACGCTCAGACAGCCTTCTATGCCTCCATGAGCCAGAGGGGGGACTCAAGTGTCTGATTCCTGAAGGTGCTGTGTGCAGAGGGGAGCTTCTGGGCTCAGGCTGCTTCGGTGTTGTACATCGAGGGCTATGGACACTGCCCAGTGGTCAAAGTGTGAGTGTTCAAGGGGCTTACTTAGCCCAAGGTACCTAGGCAATCTGCCTCTGTCATTCTTTGTCCCCTCTGCCCTGGCCATGTCTTGTTACTCTGGGTGCTTGACGGGCTTCCCTCCACCTCCAGATCCCAGTGGCTGTCAAGTCCCTCCGTGTGGGTCCTGAGGGTCCGATGGGCACAGAGCTGGGAGACTTCCTGCGGGAAGTGTCTGTCATGATGAAGCTAGAGCACCCACACGTGCTGCGTCTGCATGGCCTCGTACTGGGCCAGCCTCTACAGATGGTGAGCAGATACCGGCACTGCTTTCCTCGTAGCCCTAGGGCTGGTATGCAGCAAGAAAGACCAGTGGGGCCACACTATGGCTTACAGGGTACTGTTCCTGCAGGTGATGGAGCTGGCGCCATTGGGCTCCCTGCATGCGCGCCTGACTGCCCCAGCGCCGACACCCCCACTGCCTTTGGCCCTACTGTGCCTCTTCCTGCGTCAGTTGGCAGGAGCCATGGCGTACTTGGGGTCCCGTGGGTTAGTGCACCGGGATCTCGCTACCCGCAACCTGCTACTGGCCTCAGCGCGTACCATCAAGGTGGCAGATTTTGGACTTGTGAGGCCTCTGGGCGGTGCCCGAGGTCGCTATATCATGGGCGGGCCCCGTCCCATCCCCTATGCCTGGTGAGGGCGGTACTTTGAAATGGTCTGGCTTGAGGCAGGGCTGGGGAGTAGCAGCCAGTTAGGAACTAGGGTGGGGTAGTGTGTTGGGGGAGGGGGTGGTTGTTAGTCTTCCAGAGGAGGCAGAACAGAGGTATCATATGGTCCAGAAGCACAGAAAGATTTCTGAGGCTGATGGGGCGGGGCGGGAATGAAGGGAGTGGGTGCACAGTGGGAAATGGGCATAGACCTAGCCAACTTCAACTTCTGTTTGCCTTAGGTGTGCCCCAGAGAGCCTACGCCAGGGAGCCTTCTCCTCTGCCTCTGATGTGTGGATGTTTGGCGTGACACTGTGGGAAATGTTTTCTGGAGGAGAGGAACCCTGGGCAGGTGTCCCACCTTATCTCATCTTACAGCGGCTTGAGAAGGACCGAGCCAGGCTGCCAAGGCCTCCTCTCTGTTCCAGGGCCCTCTACTCACTCGCCCTGCGTTGCTGGGCCCCTCACCCTGCAGACCGGCCTAGCTTTTCCAACCTGGAAGGGTTGCTTCAAGAGGTGGGCATCCTCAACTCTCCAAACAACACATAGCCTTTCTTCCCTTTACCCTCTCACCCAGAGTTCCACACAAAAGACAGACATGTCTTGATGCCTGGGCTGGAATCTGGAACTCAGATCTGAACCAATCAGATTCAGTCCCTTCCTGCAGAAGGTTCAGAGCCCTGAGGAGGCAGTGAGGGGCTGCAAAGATACAGCCAGAAGAGGTGATATTTGCTTTTTGGCCACAAGAGAGGCTCAGAGTAGAGAGTAGTAGGTTCTCATGGGTGCTTGATCGGCAAAGAAAGAAACTGGAAGGGCAAGTGGAAGTCCCGAGGCTTGCAGTAGTGAGCAGAGCTTCATCGTGGAGAGTTTAGACGACTTGACTAGTGTGATATACTCTCAAGGGCTTTACAGGTGTCCTCGGCTACTGTTTCACAGCTCCTGGAGGTAATTAATCTCTGCTTAACAGATGGGGCAGTTCAGACAGAGACTTACTAAAGTCACACACTAAGTGGGGGAGCAGAGAGTAGCGCCGTCCACATGACTTCAGAGCTGGCCCCTAAATTAGTTCTTCTACTTGTTAAGGCAGTTCACTCTGAGGGCACCTGGGAGCTGAGGAAGGGTATGGGTCAGTCATTATTTCAGCCTAGCTGGGTCGGAGAATGCTAATGGGGATGTTACTGGCAGTGGCCAGGAGGCGGAAGTGAGGGAAAGAACTCCAGGTCAGAGTTGACGCTGTGGGTCTGGGGAGGAGTGGAAATGGTCCTGAGATCTGTGGGAGGCAGTCTTGGTGGGCATGGGTACCGTATAAAGTAAGCGAGCAGAATGGTTTCCCCTTAAGTAGAGGCAAGGTTCTCCTTTTGTGGGGACCCCAGGTCAGCAGCCCTACCCCACTTTGGGTTGCAATAGGGAGTCAGGGATGGGGCTAAGCACAGAGGACATCCTGATACGTATTTATTTGATTGATGGATACAAAGGACTGTCTTATTATTCTTATGACTTAGGTCAAAAGCCCAGCCACATTTTCTTCCGTCTTCACAGGCTTGGCTTTCTGAGGGACGTTGTGTGAGGGAAGTCACAGAGCCTGGTGCTTTGCGGATGGAGCCCGGAGATCCCATCACTGTCATTGAGGGCAGGTGACAACATTATTCCCTAAGCATCCCCAGGGGAGGCTCCTGGTCTCTTCATTTTTCTCCGTGTCCTTGAATCTTGGACTTGTGGATCTTTTTTTCTCCTGTCCACTGTGCCCTGAGCTCCAGCGTAGTCCCACCCTCCCTGCTGGAGCCCTGCCTGGCCCACAGTGCCCTTTTTGTGTTGGAGAGAAAAAGGCTTCCCTTCCTCCAGGCAGATGTGGCCACAAGACACACAGCTTGGTGAGCTGAGCGTGGCCGGAGACCATGCACTCTCCCTGATCCCATTTTCTTCACTACCTCCCTCTTCCCACAGCCCTGAGGCCACAACCTGGAAGGGCCAGAATGGTCGCACCTTCAAAGTGGGCAACTTCCCTGCCTCAGCAGTGACACTACCAGACTTGGGGGCTTCGCCAGTCAGCCGTCCAACCCATGGAGGTTCTCCTGCCCGGGGAGAAAGATGCCGAGGATGCATAGATGGGTGAGGCACTAAAGGACAGGAGGGGACAGAGCAAGGTTGGAGGGACTGACCAAATCTAGTAACTCCCTGGAAGAAATCCTGGGAACAGGACTAGGGTGATCTAGGAATGTAGGAATGGATTGTCCCCAGCTCGGGCTTCCCCTGTGAGTCTCAGCATGTGTGGGACCCATGATGTGGGTGAGTAGTGGAAAATGAACTCTCTGACAGGGACAGAGAGAAGACAAAGTTTCAGGATCTGCCACCAGCACGAGGCCAGAGAAGGCAGGTGCCTCTGCAGAGGATGAAAGGTAAGTGAAATGGTACACAGGCTCTCAAGAACAACCCTCCAATTCCCCTTCCCAACCTTGGGTCCTTCCTCCAAGTTCCATCTTTGGACAGTCTAACTTTCCTTTTAAAATCTTTGGGGGGGGGTGTTCAAGTCAAGATTTCTCTGTGTCCTGGAACTCTAGTTCACATTGGCCTCAAACTCAGAGATCCATCTGCTTCTGCCTCCCAAGTGCTGGGGTTAAAGGTGTGCACTAACACCACCTGGCATCCTTTGAGATCTTAAGAGATTGGAGGTACCCCTGATTTCCCCACTGGACAGCAGTCTTGGGTCTGGCCCTGCTCTTTGGATTCCTCGCTGCCTTGGTACCATTTTCATTCCTGTCCTACTGCCCTACCTAACATAGACACCTGAAGACAAGGCCAAATAGCTTACCTAAATGTTCTTTCAAAATCACCAGTTTAGTGCACATAGACAGACAGGCAGGCAGGAAGGTAGGCCTCCTTTCAAGTTGTTTCTTTCTCAACTCTGAAGGCATTTCCAAGAGTCTGGAGTCAGTTCTGTCCCTGGGCCCTCGACCCACAGGAGGTGGTTCAAGTCCTCCCGAACTTCGACGCACAAGAGCTATGCCCCAGGGACTCCCAGACCTGCCTCCACGCCCACCTTTCATCTCCAGCTCTTCTCAGCCCATCCAGCCCCACAAAGCACGGCCTCCCTGCCCCAAAAGAGAACCCTCACACAATCACCGCCCTGGAGTACCTGGAGCCAGCAAAGCCACTGTCCCTTCTGGGTGTCCCTCATCAGACCCCGAGTGGCAGAGGAAGATTAAGGAGGTGAGGTCTGCACTGAAATGACTTGGTGTTCAAGGGGCCTATAGGTTAGGACAAGAGCTAAACAAGGATTTGTCCCCCACAGGTAGAGCTGAGTGTACATGGAGTCACCTACCAGGAGTGTCAAGTGGCACTTAGAACCACTGGAGGAGATGTGGCTTCCGCTATTCGGAACCTCAAGGTAAAGCCAGCCCAGCCCCTTCTCCGAGTTCCCTCTTCTCCTGCTCTGCCCCCTAGTGGTCATCTGCCCTCCTTCCTGCCCCCACAGGTAGACCAGCTCTTCCACCTCAGTACCAGGTCCAGAGCAGATTGCCGTCGCATCCTGGAACATCACCAGTGGGACCTGTCAGCAGCCAGTCGCTACATCCTGGCCCGGGCCTGAACTCTGCATCCTTGAGGATGGCTACCAGCATGGAGAACCTGGCCTACTCAGGGCCTGACTGTGGGACCAAACAGAACCATGAGGTCTTGGCAGAGGCAGACTTACACTAAGGGAGCTGTTACCTGCTATAACAAGGTATAGGAAGTGTGCAGGGCACCGGGTCAAGCACTGATGAGTCTTTCTTCCATGCCCTCCCTGCTCCTTGGCTTCTGAGGGTTTAAGAACTTTTGACTGGACCAAGAAGGATCTAGTTCTACTACATTCCCATTGAATAGGACTTGAAAGAGAAAAGCTGCAGAGGAAGCCTCTACTCACTACAAACAACGATCAAGTAGCTGTGCTGGACCATGGAACAACTGTTAGAACTGTCATTAGCTACCTCACTAGACTCTATGGGGCACCCATCTTGGATACTGACTTGGGGGCTGTGGTCTACATCGCTTTGGTTTGGTTCAGAATCACCATGGGTGATGGAAACCAAGTTTCTGGACTCAATGATTTTTTTTTTCTTTAATCCAAACACTGCAGATTATGAGATGACCAACTTTAGCCAGGCTGTTGCCATTCCCTTTGTTTTATACCACATCAGTTCTTTCTTTTTCCCTCTTTCATCACATACATCTCCCAATGTTTAAAAAGTCTGCAAAGTTTATATGAGTACAACATACAAAGACACAGCCTCCTTCCTAGAGCAAGGGAAGGAAGGGGTTAACGGTTAAATAAGGCACAGGAAGCTGCAGAAAGCACCAGCAGGGCCCAGGGGGTTAGGAAGGAGGCAGGGACCCCTCAAAGTGCCACCGTCTGAAACTAAACTAATTGGCTAACATGACACAAGGGAAGAGGGGCGTGTCTGCCATCTTTGGTACTGCTTGCTGTTTACCCACCAGCCCTGTGGTAAAACTCGAGTCCTGGATCCCAAAGGCGGCCTCCTGTGCAGAGGCCCTGCAGGAAGTTTAGGAGGAGTGGGTAGAAAAGCTCAGAATCTAATATTGTGTGTAGGGGCTGCCCACAGTGAGGAAGGGTTCTTGTAGATAATCCTCTGCAGGGGCACAGGGAAAGGAGGGAGGAGAGGGAAAGGATGGGACACAATGACCCCAACCACTCAGCCACCCATCTGTCCACTGCAGTGTATACCAAGGAAGGGTTGCCTCAGGAGGCAAAGGCCAGGGCAGGTGACCATCTTGAATTCTGGTTGAAGTGATGGTCTCCACATGTTGAGGTGGCTTCTAACTGGTGATGGCAGAGGGCCCAGTGCCTCCTCGTTTCTCGAAGAACATATAATCCTAAGGAAAGGTCACTGTCAATGGGATATCTGGCTGGGTCAGTGTGGCCCAGCCATTATAACTTAGCTTTAGGCCTACAACCCATCATACATGTGCCTAGACTTCTAAGCAAGGGTCTAGGAAGTGAACAAAGCTTCAGATATCAGGATATCAGGAGAGGAGAAACAGGGAGGGAAGGGCAGGGACAGCCAACTCACAATGAGGAACGTGGCTCCCAGCAACACAGCCTTCACCCTCACATCTAGATCTATTGGGAACTGTAGACCAAAGTCGTCAGCATCGGTGAGGGCTTCGCGCAGCAACCCTCCCCACTGCTTGCTAATGCGGCCCACACTTCGAGATTCATCCTTGGTTTTCACCTGTTGGGAGGGGGGAAGAGTCCAACTGGGAAAAATGCCACCCATCTGCCTCGCCTCCTGTCTCACTCCGACAGTGGCACGTATGAGATGTGCAGACTGCATACTCAGTGAATCTTTCCCATAGTGTCGGGAATAGTGACAAGTAGGGGAAACTGAGACACCCTGAGTGCCACATGAATACGTGGTGAAGATTAGGGCTTAGATGTGTTGCTTCCCAAAGGCCAAGTGTGACATAACTGTGTTCAGTATAAATGACTAGTTGCTAGGCTTGCTTTGGTTACCAGTATTCCTGACACCCATGGTTGGTGCTGTATGCAAAGTATGTACCCTATGCAAAGGAGTCTAGCTGAGGGGGCAAAGAGAGGAGCCAACACTCCTCTCCAAAGTGTGGTTTCAGTCTTTCCAGCATTGCATGTGAACTGGCCAGCCAGTCCTAGCAGACAGGTGCCAGCAGGCAGTCTCTGAGGACTGATTCTAAAGGCCGCTTTGAGTTCAGCAAGAACAAGCCATGTGGAAGTCAGTGGTGACTCAGTGACTTCCTGCTCCAGTGACCAGAGCTGAAACGATTTCCTTCTGCATCCTGTGCATCCTCTTCCCACCTTGTCCTGCAGCTAGGGAGCTTCCTGCAGGCGAGTTCCAGGCTCAGCAAGGCCTTCTGACACCAACTCTGCATTTCCCGAGAGTGCAGATCAAGTATGGACCATTCAAGATTGTGTAAAAGGGACACTGGCTTCCTGAGAACCCCATAACACACACATTCCCATCCAGGGATCACACAATTATCTCCTTTCCAACCAGTCCTCAGGATAACAACTCCCTCTGACTATCAAGGTGACTCACTTTCTACAGACAACCTCAGGTGAGGCACCTCTACTGGATGAAACCTGTTGTTTCTCCTTTATCTGATTGGAGAATCATCCCTTAAAGATGCCTTTGTCTCCTAAAAGCCAAAGCATTTCCCAAGCTTCATTCTCAAATTCTCACCACTTGGGTTCTGGCTCTGGACTGGCGAGAGGGAGCCACAGAAAGGACATCACCTGGACTTTGGGTTGGACGGGTCATTTGAACTTGTAGGTTTGCAGGACAAGCCAAAGGCAAAATTACTACAGGGTCTATGCTTACAGATAGGTCTAGTAGCTACATGGGTCTGGCCCAAGGCAAAGTTAAGCACTAAAGAAGGACTAAGATACCAGCCACCCAACTTAGATCTAGCTGGCCTCAGGTTCTCCCCTAGACCTCCACAAGGCTGCAGGGAACACTTGGCCTTGGCCTGAAGATGAAATTCTTTTGTTCCGATTGCCCTAGAACTCAGAGAGTGTGTGCCTCTGCCTCCTGAGTGCTGGGGTTAAAGGTGTGCACCACCATGGAATCTTTTTTGCTGTGCTTTTGCTGGCTTACATGACCATCTCATTTCTGAATGGAAGAAAACTGAAAGTACAGTAGGGACTACAACAGATTCTTGACTGTCATAAGCCATCCATTGGCATAGAAGCTACCATCTTGTTTTTCTAATAAGGTTTTTTGATTGGTTGTGTGTGCTCCATGGCATGTGTGTGGAAAGCAGAGGATAGTTTGCAGGAGTTGACTCTCTTCTACTGTGTGGGACTCAAGGCTAGAACTCAGGTTATCAAACTTGATCCTCTGAGTCATCTCATTGGCCCCCATCTTGGTTATGAAGAGCCTAGGAATCACTTTCTATTTATAATACCTCAAAGTTGGTGTCTGTACCACAGCCACAGGTCCAGCAAGGCCCCACAACTCGAAGGACAGTCTGGCGATCAGCATCCTGGATGGAAAACTTAGGAAGGAAGGGATGCCAGGTCTGCAGCACATGGCCAATGGTGGTACCAGGTGGAGCCTGCACTTCCATCTGAAGAGGGAGGCAGACAGGGTTACTGTCAAGCCAGGATACCTTGGCCAGAGCTCTTCATTGGTGCCAGCCATCTTCTGACTGTTCAGACCCCCCCCCCACTCCTATTAAAGTCACAACCCTTTCTGGGATGCTCTTATACTGCCCACCAACCACCACAAAACCTGCCCTACCCACCTCCTGAAGGCCACAGGGACAGCAGCTGCAGCCACAGTGAAGTGGGCGGAGGAGGCGGAGCACCTCGCGATCCCCAGGGTCCGCTAGGCGGACACGAAGTGGCCGGCGGGCACCACAGCACAGACGGGCACAACAGTTGCTCTCTTCAGCTGCCTGACCCAGTTGCTGTCCGGTCCCAGAACGAAGTTCATACCTATTACAGGTCTCCCAGCCTAGGAACGCTGTTAAGGGTAACATGCTGAGGCTCAGGGGCCTAACCTGCCCAGAAGCTCACCATTGCAGCAAAAATCATGAAGCCCAACTTGTTCCTCCTCCTACTCACTTTCCACTCGTTCAGCCTTCTGATGAACCAAGATTTGATCAATCTGTAAAAGAGTTAAGAGCAGTGTTGACCTTGTCCGTCAGCTGGAACATCAGCTCTCCTCTCGGCCATCTGCCCTCCCACTCACCTGCACTAGGAATTCGAGGCCAGAAGGCACCCCTGGCAGTGGCAAGAAAGGAGCAGGAGAACCTGGTGCCACGGGGCCTGGCGAGGGAAAGAGAGCGAAGCCGGGCGCAGGGGCCGGCACCTGGGCAGGCACTGGAGCCTGTCCCGGCCCAGGATGCAGCGCAGGCTCTGGATACCCAGCTGTCACGGGGTATGGAGGTGGGTAGCCTTTGGGGGGTAAGTAGCCTGTAGGGGAGCAGGGGTAGGTTAGAAAGTTACCTGTGGCCTCATCCTCTTTTTTCCCAGCCCAGGGGCCAGGAGTACTCGCGGGAAACATAAGAAGAGGCAGAGAATGATGGGGCTTGGGGGGGGGGGAAGCAGGGCGGTGGCTCCCCAGGAGGAAGGGAGGGCCCCACGCAGCCAGTCTGAGCACATTCCTGGAGAATGCGTTCGACACCCGGCACCCAAGTTCGTGAGGGGGGATAACGCAGACCCCAGCCTTGCGCCCGCATACCTGCCATGGGAAAGGGGAGGGGTGTCTTGGGCTGTCGGCGTCCGGGAGTCTTATAGTTCTGGAGTGGAGACAAGCTCGGGAACAGCCAGACAGACACAGACACAAAGACGGACAGGCAAAGGCGAGGAGGCAGCTGCGCCTAGCGCGAGCCCAGGGTCTCTTGGGCGGCGCCTACGACTCGGGGGAGAAACCGAAAGTGTCAGCGGGCGGGGCAGGGTACCTGGGACCCTGAATTTCCTTAGGGGCCCCAGGACCGCCCCCTCCCTTTGTTCTCCCATTTTCCGCAGAGATGGCTATTGGCAAACGGCAGGACAGAGGGACCTGCGGTTAGACAGACGACCTGACCTCGAGGAAGGTCTCCCTGACCCCTCTATGGTCCGGCTCACCTGAAGCCCCCAGAATAAGCTGGGGGACCACTCACTCCAGGGCTCACAGTCGCTGGTGGAGGCGGGCCCAAGATCTGACCCCACCCCCGGCTCGCCTAAGCCCCGCCCTTAGACCGGGCGGGGCATCTGCGCAGAAAACAGTCGCTTCTCCTCCCCCGGGGCCGCGGACCTTGGACCTTGCGAGCCTTGTTCGCCATGGTCCCGCCCCTTCCGCTCCGACTGCAGAGGCGTGGAGACCTGGGCTGTCGGAGGGGACTGCGGCCCAATCCCCACGCCGTGACCCTAACCTTCTCTCGGGCCGCTTTGCTGCCTCCCCACCGCGTGGCTGCTCCGGACCCGGCGATCCTCCTCCCAAGGGCGGGTCGGGCGTCGCTGACGCAGCGGAGCACCATTCACACTCACTCATTGGCTTACAGAGTTGGCTAGGCGTTCTCCTACCTCAGGGCGACCTCACTGTGTTCTCTCCCTGTCGCAGCGCTGACCCACACAGGCACCTCTCAGTTCAGTCGCACCCATTACTCGCG